CGTTCTAGTGTTAATAGTTGAACTTTCTTATGTCTACTTTTGTATCATCCCTAAAAGACTCGAAGATCTGAATCATATACCTCTCATTATGAACCAAACAGTTACTTTTTAAAGAATATCCTGCTCACTCTTTCCAATTAAATGAACATAGCTACGTAGCCCATTCTTGAGAGTATTAGTATTATTCAGGTTTTTTAATATATTTTTACTTGCACTGATTAATTGTTCACCACAAGACTAGTAATATGCGCTAACAAAGTAAATAGGTTCAATTTTGATTTCACGGGGACTTTAACGCCAAAAGCTGCTCTTTTTTTCAAAATAGACTAGCATTCTAAACTACATAACAATATCTAAGGCTGTATCAAAAGGTAGTTGTGCGTCCGCTGCCATGTTGAATCCATAGAAATAAACAAACTCCTTCGGTGTGTCGCATATATGTCGTCATCGTCTTGCTGCTCCCTCCCCGTTCTGTGATTGGTTCCCTAAATGAAATCTGAACCATGGCACCCGTATTGCGGATAAATCACGCTGCGGGAAGGCAGCATGGGGAAACCCAGACTTGAGTAGAGATGTAGAAATCTCTGATTCATGGATAAATCATTTCCTTGAGCATGTGACTAACCTGGTGAAAATGTCAGTTGTTGTTTCAGCATTGAAACGTCTTTCTTCAGAATTCACCATTTTTTGTAGCAGTCACATTCCTCATTGAAAGGTACATTAGGTGAGGGTCTTTATCTCCTCAGGTGTGAAGCACACATCATTCACACCTCCTCACTTATTTCCTGTCTAAACAAAAAGTATTGGGCAGGAGTTATGGGCAGGGTGATTTTCACAATGTTTTGTAATTACAAATTATTTTGTACATTACAAAAATTTTATAAGATCCAGTACTCAAAAGTCTTGTGTTTAGTATGTGTTTTATGGCCTTATTTCAGTCACTTAAATTTTTAGTTTTTTCAACAACCACTCATGTTGTTTTTTCAAAATTACAAACATGTACATACATGCTGTACACATATTACTGTAGCAGAGTTTGTGCTGAATACAGTGTAATCTGACTTTATCCACTAATTGGTTTATAAAAAAAACCTAAAAATACAAAAATAAACAAATGTTAGGGCTTCACCATGGCCAAAAAACCCCTAAGATCCCCTCAGGGTTAAGGTTAAATGTTTGTGAAAACATTATCAAAACCTACATGGCCTACATAGGGACAGATTTACTAAACAGGGCAAATTTACGTGTGGGCGCAATTCCAAAAAAGCACAAATGGTAATGTTCTGTGCGTGATCTACTGGCAATTTCAAGAACACGGATCTGATGCAGCCGGATCATTTCCATATAGACCAATGCAATCTAGCGTCTGGTTTAAGACGTGCTTTTTTGGAGTGGTAAATAATGGCTCAACTACTAGTAAAGTGACGAGCGCAAACCTTAATAGCTAAATCACCTTGATTCATTTAATACTCCCCTCCTATAAATGCTGCATCTGAAAGGGAAACTCCTACAAATGCAGATACAAAAAGGTCAGAAATGTCCCTGTCCACTCATAACTTTCTCACTGCGTGTCTTTAGCAAATCCGTACAGTTTTTTAAAGCCAAAAGAGGGTTTGCGCTGTCGCAAGCTGTTAGTAAATCTCTTTTTAAGATCTGTGTGAAGATGTTAATATTAAAATGTATTCTATTTGTAAAATCGAAACAGAATTCAACAGTGGTTCAACCTTTATCCAGGTTTTCGATTCACCCAGAAACGTCGAAAATGCCTGCAGGGTTTCAACTCATTGTTTAATCCAGTACACAAAAGTGGTCTGAATAAATTTGTTCATCAATTAGATTTACCATGAATTCAAAATTGGCAATTATTTATCATCATCATTATTATTATTTGAATTTATTGTTATAATGCAGTTTTATTTTAAATTATTTATCAGTGCACATTATTATTATTATTATTATTAATTCATGTCTGTTTAACCCTGTGTTTACTTCTGGAGTGCCTGCATAACCCTATCTAAAACAGTTATTTTCGGAAACGTACACCTAGTCACATTGGTGCCTATTGTAACTATACCTCAGTGAGGCTGGTTGAGAACGGACAGTTTATTTGTAAAGTCCAAAAAAAAAAAAAAAAAGTATCAAATGCTCGTTTGGAAATAAAAGGATGCTAACTACAGATTAGAATTTGTCCAGTGTGTAATTTGTTTAGATTTGTATCTGCTTGTTTTTTTTAGCACCCTCTGCTGGATTTACAATAATATGCCTCTGTTTCCATTTCAGAAGGCCAAGTGCATGCATATTCCACTGTACTGTTAAAGAAACAGTTCACAAGCAAATTATTATTAACATTATTTACATATCTTCATGTAATTTCAAATCTATATGAGTTTCTTTTTTTCAGTGCAATGCAAATGGAGAATTAAAAAAAAATCATATAGAAGTTTAAATGTATTTTATTTCAATTCATTTGAATGTATACAATAGCTTTGAGTGAGAAACGACTATTTTAATGATGTCTGATTTGTCAACTGGTCACTGGTATAAGTTTTGGGACTCAATAATCTGGTTGCAACTCTTGAACTTATGAATTAATTAATTTCAGACTGTTCATTACTCACAGCTATCATATGACTTCAGAAGACTCTGAATCTAGCCCACATGCATACTATATATATATATATATATATATATATATATATATATATATATATATATATATATATATATATATATATATATATTCATGATACCTTTATAGTGCTTCCATTTTGAGGCCTTAAACCTTTAGTTACCATTCATTCAAATTTCATGGAAGTGAGTGACCAGAATATATGGGAGCGTGTGCTTGATGTTACAAAGTTATAAGATTAGATTTAGATTTACACATCGAATTAACATTAGTGCATAGATTTAAAAATACTGATTTAGTGGTAGGACAGAATTGCATCATGACTGATGTTTGCCAAATATGTGATTCAGTCATGCTGATCAGCCATGTTCAATTAGAAATATTTACAGCTCTTTCAGAGCATAGACTTGTTTGTCTGGTTTCAACAGAGTTTGGGTTCAGACTAGGAACAGAGTGAGCTTACCGCTAAAGTCAAAACATTTTTTTATCTGTCTCTTAAATGTTTTTTTTTTTTTTTTTTTTTCCAGTAATGTCACCAAGCCCTCATATTTTATGTAATTATTAGTTTTACACAGGCTTATAAGTACTTTGTCTCTTTTACCCCATGGCGTGACTTCACTCTCAAACCTCCCCCTGTGCTAAGGCTTCGGTGTGTGAATGTATTGTGTAGCTCTCCAGGATCTCTAAGTAGAGAAGGGGCTTACCTGTCTCTATTAATACATAGGGATCAGCTGATTATCTGATGGGTTTTCAGAAAAAGGTCTTGCAGAGGGCACTGGTAACCAATCCTTTTGCCAATTGTAATCAATTTCTTCTAGATAAGGTGTTGTATAAAAGGCAATTTTGACCAAAACAATTTGTTCAAAACATTTGTACCCAGCTCCCCATGAAAAAAAAAAAAAAAAAAAAAAAAAAACTTCAAGTACTGCTAAAATAACTAAATATTTTTAAAAGTTGTTTGTTGTTGTTCATGCCTCACCTTATAGCTACAGCAAATAAATAATATATATATATATATATATATATATATATATTAAAAAAGGTGCAGAATGGTCCCTGCATTACTACAAAGATTCAGTTCATGATACATAGATGTGCTGATGTATTTAGCATTTAGCACAATACATACTATATATATATATATATATATATATATATATATATATATATATATATATATATTAAGGCTGTCAAACGATTAATCGCGATTAATCGCATCCAAAATAAAAGTTTGTGTTTACATAATATATGTGGGTGCACTGTGTATAATTATTTTGTATGAAAACACATACATGCATGTATATTTAAGAAAAAAAAAAAATTTATATAATAAATTATTAATATATAAATCTATATAAAGTATATACATGAAAATATTTCTATATGTCTATATACAAGCATGTGTGTGTATTTATATATTTAAAATTATTATACCCACATATGTTATGTAAACACAAACTTTTATTTTGGATGCGAATGATCGCGATTAATCCTTTGACAGCCCTAATATATATAATATATATATATATATATATATATATATATACATATATAGACATACATAATATGTATGTATGTATGTATGTATGTATGTATGTATATGTATATATATATATATATATATATATATATATATATATGTGTGTGTGTGTGTGTGTGTGTGTGTGTGTGTGTGTGTGTGTGTGTGTGTGTGTGTGTGTGTGTGTGTGTGTGCAATCAGATAGTTCACCCAGGAATGAAAATTATGTCATCATTTACTCATCATTACTCACCCATAAACTTGTATGAATTTCTTTCTTCAGTTGAACTCAAAAGATAATGTTGAGTAACATACAGTTGAGAGACCCCATTGACTTCCATGTTTTTAGTTTTCCATACTCTGGAAGTCAGTGGGGTCCATCAACCGTTTGGTTATGGACATTCTTCAAAAAATATCTTCTTTTTTTGTTCAGCAGAAGAAATGCATTTTTACAGGTTTGAAACAAGTTAAGGGGGTTAGTAAATGATGACAACATTTAAATTGTTAGGTCAGCTATCCCTTCAATGCTTAAGAGCAGGATTGAGACATATAGGTCTGCACATCCCTCAAATACAATGTGAGAGTTTATTACAATTTAGATCGCCCTCTAGTGGTGTGATTATGGAACCAAGATGCTTTTTGCTTAATACAATGTTCCAGCCATGATAACAAACCCAATTTAGTAATGGATGTGACTTGAAACACCTGTTCTCCTGCTCTGCAACTGCAGATATATAATGTACATTAGATCACATATAGGGATCTAATGTACCTGGTAACTTGATTTTACTTGATATGTTACTAATAGATGTGGTTTTGTCTGATTTTCTTCCCCTTTTCTCTCTCTACCAGAGGATGACGTGGATCTAGAAGCTCTGGTGAATGACATGAACTCGTCCTTTGAGAGTCTGTACGCTTCTTGCAGTGTTCAGACTGAATCCACTCCACTGCTGCACAATGGCCAGCAGCCGCACCGACCCGCTGCGTGTCACACACACTCTCAGTCCACCTCCCCACACCAGAGACTGCGGCGGTCCCAGCCTATGCACATCCACGCTGTCAGGTAAAAAACCCTGAAAATATATGAAGCGCACACATACGGTTTCCCCAAAATGTATTTAGACTCTGAAGCCACACTTTAAAATGTATGAATGTCATTTGGGGTGTTTATTTTAAAGAAAGAAGCAAGTTTATACGTCCGACATTTTAAAACAATCAATATAGAGTTTGAGGGACTGTTTAAACAAAACCGCTTTCAACTAAAAACGTAAAACCTTTTATGCGTTTTGGCCATTCGATTACATGACAGTCGGCGTTTTGGGTGGCAAAGTTTTGTCAAAGTGCAAATTTTTGAAAACGTTCTCGTGTAAACAACAAAAACGTAAATTTCTGAAGGCAATGACATCATGCACATGTGCATTACGTGTTCAATTTGAACTAATATTTTATTCATAAATGCAAATAAAATTCTTTAAGAGTACCCAAATTAAAGGTTTTTCTCTGTGAATTTAATTATTTTATTAACAAAAAAGGTGCCAAATATGTGAAAATGTATGATAATATGTTGAGCAATATGTAATTTAAGTTACTTCCTCTGTTTTTTTTATCTTTACTGTACTTATATTGCAATTTGATGTAATTGTCTCCTTTTTCTCATGCTGTGATCTGTTGTTACTAGAAGTTTGAAAAAAAAAAAAATAATAAAAAAAAATCTATAGTGTTTCATCGCCATCTAAAGGCCTGGGAGCAGAATACAGGGCTTTTAGTCGTTTTCACGGATATGTGTGAATGGGGATTTCACGGGGACGTGTGAATTTTAACAATTGTGTTGTCTGTACTCATATTGTTGTTGTGTAAACTTACCTTAAAGTGTACTTGAACCTTTATTGTTTTAAACATTGGGGAAACATGTTTCTAGTTAATATGATAAAGTGCACCTGTAGTTGAGGGGAAGTGACTTCATTCATTCACTAAAAATCACCTTGGGACCAGTTGCACAAAAGTCATTGTGAAAAACTGATCAGTTAATTAATGAAGAATTTAAACAGCAACATTCAGGTATTTCTTAATATAGTGTGGAGTAAGTTTGCAAACACAAAAAACAGAGCAAATTACATCAAAACTTCAAGGATTTTCCAAAACAATAGCTTAAATGAAGCACACACACACCACTTTGATCATTTTCAGCTTTGCTTTCTTTGCCTCCATCACTATTGTTATTCCATTGCTCTGTTATACTGAAACCTCTGAGAATTAATGCTTTCCATTTGGTGTGCGTGTTTTTGCCTCTCAGCTGTGGATCAGAGCAGGAAGTTGAGCAAAACGAGCTTGTGAACGAGGGTTCACTCAAGCAAAGGTTCACTCAGAGGTTACCATTCAGAATTCCAAATCACACACTCCCTCATGCTCTCAAACCTACGGCACAAATGTGTGTGTGTGTGTGTTTCAGCTTTTCTCTGAAGTCCCCACTTCAAAAGGACTCCCTGTCTAATGGCAGCTTCAAAAAATGGCCCAAAATGCTAATGCTGCCCAAAGCTGCCAACAATTTGAGGCTGACAGTAATACCTTTGGCTTAGAGACAAGGTTTCTTGTTCGTAATATAACCCTAAATTGGAGATTTTGCTTTATTCTTCCAGAAGACTTCAGGAAGAGGAGCAACAGTACCGAACGTCCTCTCTACCTGCCATCCCCAATCCCTTTCCTGAGCTCTGCAGCCCTGCGAGTTCCCCTACACTCAGCTCTGGCTCCTTACCTCAGTGTCAGCCCTCAGGCAAATATGTAAGAGACCCTTTGTTCTCATTCCTCTCTCACTGCAAGGACTAGTTTACTCAAAAATAGAAATTCTGTCATACATACTCATCACCACGTTGGGCCAAACAACAAAGCAATATTTTCTTTCTTCCATGGAACACAAAACGAGAAATTCTGAAGAATATTTGCGCAACACATTTTTAGAAAACATCAGGCCATATGTGCTCCACACACACACACAAACACACACAAAGCAACAATAAGTATTCTGGACCATATGATTGCTTTAAGTGAGGGACACATTCAAATTTAAGTAATTATTTTATTTTAATGTCATTGACATCAAACCTGGCGCATATTTGAATCTGATGTGTGATAATGTGCAGACATATTTTTAAAAACACTGGCCCTCATTTATCAATCTTGCGTAGAAACGGGTGTATATTTTGGTGTAAGATTATGCTTACGCTCCTCTCACCGCCTGATTTATGAAGATGTGCGTACCTTTGAAATCCAGGTGTACGCAATGCCTGCCCTTGATAAATCCCGCGGCCGAAAACGATCGTCATTAGAATAACACGCCCCTAAATATTCAAGTCTCCGCTCCCCCCACGCCCTTATTTTACGCCATGGACACACGGAAGACGGCAAAGAAGAGAAACTTCTCCGACGTGGAGCCGAAATGACCTATCACAATGCATTATTTTACAGCACGTCTTTTGAAATTAGCATTCAATTTAGAATCACGTGATGATGATGTGATGTGAAGTACCATTCATTCACGTTAATAATTGCATGACAATTTGTAATAGTATTCTTCTTATTATTATGATTTGCATTAATGATGCTTATTGTTATTTAGAAGAAGGATGTTGTTATTATTATTTCTATTATTATTATCATTTAAAAGAAGAAGAATGCATTTTTTATTATTTTGTCAGTCTGAATTATTTTTTGGTCATTGAAAGCCTTTCATTAGGCTACCGAACCCAGTCCGTGCCCACCTGCCGGGGATAATCCTGAAACGTCAGGGTAAAGCGGGCTCGCAACTGAAGGAATATATGCTTACAAATCAAATGCTTTGGTAAAGTCACACAAATTAAACAGTTTATTTAAAGTTTTAATTAAAGTTTATAATGTTTTTTTGTTTGTTTGTTTGTTTGTTTTACAGTGGGTCATAATATATCATATCTTTTATTTTGTCAGTGCGTTTTGTGCTGTTAGGAATTTTTCTGCGCATTTCCTCACTAACTCAAAACGTGCGTACACCACCTCCTGAGCTGGTGTAGGATTCAAGCGTGCCGTACGCCAACGTCCATATTGATAAATCTCAAACTCACCGTGGTTTTGAGTGTACGCAAGGTGTACGCTGGAAATGTGGTGTACGCACTTTTGATAAATGAGGGCCAATGTCTTTCCTTCCGTCTTTCATGAGGTGACGCTGCTACTGTGTAACTACAAAAATAAGTTCTTTGTAATATTAATTAATTCATTACGGGTCAGGGTTTGGTTTAGGGTCAGTAAATATGCATAATTTACTGTTATTACTTTAGTAATTAAGTACATGCAAAATCAAGAGCAAAATCAATAGGTTGGAATGGTAAATGGACTGCATTTATATAGCGCTATCACAGACCCAATGGCCACCAAAGCGCTTTACATATTGCCTCACTTTCACCCATTCACTCACTCATTCTTTCAACTGGTCATACATTCATACAAATATTGGTTTTGGGTTAGTTTCATGTAATTATGTATAATTTATAGTTATTAGTAACAGCGTCATATGTAATGTGTAACAAGCACACAATTTTTTTTTTTTTTGAAATATGACTTAGATATTCTCATTATGCCATATTTGGGGATTTTAAATAGTAACTGTTGGGACAGCATAGGTTTTGAAATGTGCTGAAATGGAGTTCAGTGTGGTGTATTGGTTTAACTGGTTTCCTAAGAAACAGGTCACTTCCTGTATGGTGTGACTCATATACAGTAAGAGCTCACTTACAGCAGCAATAAAAAGTTATGTCCACACAAATGTCGCCTAAAACGTAATAATATCTTCATTCAAAACAAAATAATTGTATTTTCAGGGTTTTTTTTGTTTGTTTTTTTACGGGCTTTTGGTCGTTAACGGGATAGGACAGATGGGAAACTATTAAGAAAAGAGAGGAGGTGTGATCGGGAAATGATGGAAGACAGATTTGAACTCGAGTTGCAAATAAGGACCAACGTGCAATGTGTCAAAGACACATGCACTACATTTATGCAGTGTGTCTGTGATGATTTGCCGGCACCTGTATTTATTTGTATATATCGCGCATGCATTGTTTGGATCTCTGTGTGTGTATGCGTGAAAGCATCTGTTGTGTGCGTGCGTGTGTATATAGCTATCTCTAGACCTCTGGCTGTCATGTGTGATCTGACTGAGGCCCCAATATATTCCTGGAAAGCCATGTCATTGCTCCAGGCTATCCTCCTTCATATGGGGCCCCGGTCGGTCTGTTACCGTAACATGGTCCCAATGTTACCGTAAAATCGCTACAGACATTAATCAGTTTCCCTAATCCCTCTCTCTTTAAGTTTATTGTCCTGTTGATGAAACCCAGTAGGGCTCTAAGTGCTAGAGAAGGCTTTTGGTCTGTACAAAAGCGAAAACAACCTAGAAAAAGGCCTGGAAGTCATTTAAACCAGCTGACAAATCTTCAGTGACTGATGATGTCCATAAATATAATCAAGACATCAAGCATCAAGCCTGTTGTTTGATTGTGAAGTTCATGTGAAGAGCAGACATTATTTTGGAATATGGGAAATGAGAACATTTGTGTTGCAGGGCCCTCAAACATGTGATGACACTGTCTTAAAGGACAAGTTCGGTATTTTACAATTAAAGCCCTGTTTTAAGATCGTCCCTGATGAAATAGAATAGTTAAGATTGTTTGTTAGACAGATGCTCCTGGATTGGATTCTGTGTTTTATCGTAGTTTTTGTCCAAGTCCATTTTCTTCCGGTTTTTGGTCGAAGTCCACAGTAATAAATTGTCGAGTTCATGTGCGCGATCATTGGTAACTAGATAACTGAGGATCGCGCACGCAAAATCGATAATCGACTACTGTGGACTTCGACCAAAAACAGGAAGAAAATGGACTTGGACAAAAACTACGATAAAACCTGTTGGAAAGCATCTTTTGCAGCGATTTTTCTGTGAGCATATCAGTGAACACCCCAGACCACTCGGTGAGTTTCACGTCTTTGTAAACTAAAGTTTTATGTGTTTTAATGAATGATTGTTCGAGTGCACCTATGCTTTCATTATAAAGGTGGGGGGGTGCTAACACAGAATCCAAAAATTCTCGTGACAGGAGCATCTGTCTTAAAAACAATCTTAACCATTCTATTTCATCAGGGACGATCTTAAAACAGGGCTTTAATTGTAAAATACCGAACTTGTCCTTTAACAAAGGATGCAAGTTGTGCATCTCAATGTGTCAAAACTAAATCAGCACCGTTTCAACCCTGCAAAGCCTGATATATGAAATAATAGTTATGTCTTTATTATTTCATAACTTTATTATATCTGCAGTAGCCCAAGCATGTTTGGGGCTTTAAATGTGTGTTTTTTCATTCATTTACAATAACTCACCTTTTTAAAATACATGCGTTCCACTCCTCATACAACCTGACAGTGCCAAATATATTTTTTTAAGTGGAATGTTTTTAATTGTGTGTTATGTGTTACAAAACACCACTAATGTGCATGTTAAATGCAATTAAAAATAAAATGCATCATAATTTAAATTCATATTAAATATAATTAGCTGATTTTTGTCATAATTAGTATTTCATTTATGTTTCTGATGGTCATTTGTTGCTATGGTTACTCATTTGTTAATTGATTGCCATTACCTGCTCGCTGTTCCCTTTTGAAAGGGAACTCGCACTGCATTGATTTGACACAAAGGGGAACGCCACCGTGTAAACCGGTGTCTGAAACACTCTTCTAATCACGGCAATCCTATTGGCTGGCGACAGCCTATGACATCACTACTAGTGCGACTCGAAAGTATATAAGGGGAGCCTGGATGAACATGTCAACAACTTTTTCATCTTCAGGGACTGTCTTGTTTGTATGCTGCAGTCTTTAGCCTCCTTGTTAGAGCGCCCGACTCTCACGCCGGAGACCTGGGTTCGAGGCTCACTCGGAGCGGGTCGAGTAGGACCCGGGTGGAGGGGTTACACATATGACATCATTTTTATATATTTTCAAGATGGAAGAAGCTGGTTTGGAGTAAGTTTTATCAGGGTGTGAAGAAATATAGAGCTGAGTATCATCAGCATAACAGTGAGGTGTTCGCGAACTAAAATGGTAGGGCATACGCAGCAGCAAATCTGTCTGGTGATACCTTGCACACAATGGCAGTGCTGCAAGCATACCAGGCTGGGGTGCGTTTCCCGAAAACATCGTTAGCCAACTATGGTCGCAAGTTCCGTTGTTATCTGCATAGTTTAACGAGTCGGTGTTTCCCGAAACCATCATTCCAACGGACATTCGAAAATAGCATCGCAAAGTTGTGTGGTTTGAACGTCAGCTCTCGACCTGTGGTTAGAGGCATAGTTTCTATATTGCATGACATTTGGAGGTAATAAATCCTTATCTTGAGCAAAATAAGCAAGCTGATGTTCAGTACAACCGGTGCCCTTTATTTATAACACATACAAATGTAATTTACGTCTTTTAGTTTGTCAAAAGATTTGAAGTAACGTGTTTGAAGAGTGCGCATGTGCGAACGTGCTCTACTATGTAAGAACGAGGCAAATATTGAGTCTGGTAATAAAGCAGAACAACTCAGAACAATTAGAAATATGTCTGTAATTTATATAAAACAAATCTAGCGTTAATTGGATCTCAAACAGTTTTATTAAAATTAGTTATTACTCCACCTCGTGCGAAACCAACCGCGGTTGAACGATACTTTGCGACAGTGGGTTTCGGGAAAAAGTCGCGACTAGCTAGTTGATTTTTCCAACGATGCATCGTACTATGGTAGTGAAACAGTGAACTACGTCGTTGTGCGGGAAACACACCCCAGATCGGCCAACAGATTTGAAGCATGTAAATCTCTCACCCCAAGCGCTTCTTGCATCAGCCCTGAGGCTGGACCTATTATGTGTTATTACTTCAATTTGGAACCCTTCTGTAGGTCTGGCGTCGGG